GTGTAATAAAGTCAGTAACATTGCTGGATGTATCTTTAATTTCAGAGTCTAAGGAAGGTCCTATTTTGGAGAAATGTGTGTTGAGTATATTACTGATTTTGATGGGGTCAGTATTTACAGTATCCCCAATGCCTAGCTGAGTTATCTTACTAAATTTAGGCCCTGTTTACAAGCAAGGAGGGTAACCCTTTTGCTAGGGTTACCCTACCAGGCGGGTCAAAGATTGCCTGGGTTTACAAGCAAAATTTCACAGGTAGGGTTACCCTACCACCTGGGACAACTTACCTATGCCTGGTAACCGCATGCATTTTTATCAATGTTCAAAGGGTCTGGAAACAAGTAAAAAGTTGTCACGGGTAGGCGAGTTATCCCCAGCAGAGCGTTTACAAGGCAGCTAGGGTAACCCTAGCTGCTTTGTAAACACGTCGATGAAAAAAAGAAATGTGGGAGCGTTAGGGTAACCCTCCTGCCATGGTAACCCTACCTGCTTGTAAACAGGGCCTTAGGTTCATTTCCAATTACCGTAATTTCCGGCCGTTTACCCACGGGTAATCTGTTGATTTTGCCTTAAACACGCGCCACTGCGGGTAATAGGGAAGTGCGGGTTATGTGACAATTTTGAAATCTAATGGCGGTTGAATTGAAGGAAATTCTCACCTATCTGCGTTTCCACCTCTCTGATGAATTTTACTGTATTAAGAGTGCCACAAAGCGGCACGAAAACATGATGCCGACTCGAGTTTATTTCACATACAATTAGTTGCGCGACGAACAAATTCCCTGCACGCGTGTAAACCGGCAAAACCTTGGTCTCAAATATAAACCGAGGATAACCGGCGCATCAGTAACAAATTTCCAGTTGACACTAGCTTCAGCTGAAGAGAATTTTCCGTTTTAAGGGACTTGTCAGGCCTAGTAGAACCAGAGATATCGATTTTTTGGAGAAATCAACATGGCGCTGAACGATCGTAATCGCACAAAATGTGGCCACAAATTCGCATTCTGTCAAGTATGCAACGTTGTGAATTCTAGAGCACATTTGCACAAATTTCCTTCGTTTTTAAGGTGCGGGTTGTCCACCACTGAGTGCGGGTAATCTGTTGATTTTTTTTTTTCGCTGCATGCAATAATCGGCCGGACTGCGGGTAAACGGCCGGAAAATTATTATGGTAGTCTGTTAACTCCCTTCCAAGTATTCTTTATGTTTCTACAGTTATCTTTGAAGAAAGCATTATAATAGTTCATTTTAGCATTCTTTATTTCATAAGTAACCTTATTCTTCATATGTTCGGTAAGAAGTCCAATTGCGATCTGTTGGGAACCTTGCATGATGAGGCCAACTTTTTGAGTTTGTCTCTGAAAAATTAGCCTTTTTAGCTCTGGAGTAATCCAGGGGGAAGAGATTCCTTTCACTCTCTTCTTCTTTAATGGTGCACGGCTATCAGCAATTTCTAAGAACATATGTTGCCATATATCCCAAGCAATGTCAGGATTTTGTTCCTGTTCAATCAGATGCCACGGGACCATAGATAAATCAGTTCGAAAACTATGTGGAATAAAATTTTTTAAGTATCTGCTCGTTACAGTCTTTGGTTTTGATTTGAGGATACAAATCTTTCTTATTGCATACACCAGACAGTGATCACTGATTCCGATATCGGTGACTCCGGAGTCCGAAAAATTCCACGGATGATTAGTTAAAAACACATCAATAATAGATGATGTAAGCTGTGATTAATTGCCTATACTGGTCACTATTATTATCACGATCATATTGATTCATACTCCTGTTAAAACGCTTTCAATGCCAACAATTTACTTACTTCCAAACAGGAACTTCTTTATGTTTGCTGTATTACCACAACTTCGTAATTCTGGGAGGAAGGTTGGAGTTTCGCGTTTACATGAACAGCTACACAGCGTGCTTTTTTCCACCCAAGCCGAGGCGTTAGCACAAACATCTGAAAGGCATCCGTAGCCAGTTTTGTACACAACCCTGAACACGTCAGTATCATATCTACCTCTTCTCGTAACAATGTACTTCTCAACGCCTTCTGCATTTAAAGCAGCAAGCAAGGGAGTGAGTTGAAGTGTAGTTGCATACGACACCAAAACAACAATCCTTGTTAATGAGCAAGTTGCCAGCTTCGCCGATAGCATGTTCGTTGATTAGTTTGCGCAAAGACAAGCCACAACTCCGTTTACACTTTGCGATTGACCTTTCGCTTTTTATCTCTGTAGAATACGGCTGGAACCGAAAGAATTACTTTTTACGGCGGGTTTGTTTGTTTATACTCCAAAACATAATCTTTTTGCAATCCCGATAAGCCCGATAATGAACGCGTGCCGAAGTCTCATTCACTTAGAGACCGAAATATTTGATGGGTTCCGTAAGTCAGCTACGTCACGCTACATACGTAGATGACGTCAAAAAGTAAGTACTAGATTTTTCGGCACCGAAAAAGGCATAATTTCCGTAAACGCCTGTTCGTTTATTTATTTTTGAAACAACCATGAGAAAGGATTCTCAAAAACTGTGTGTTATGCTCAGCTTATAGGGACAAAGGGAAGAAATAGGAAATGAGATATGAGCGCAAGATGCCAACTGCATATGTTTACTTATGAGGAATTGAGAAATACCAAGTGGAGTTTCAAGAATTTTTAGACCTTAAGCGGGTTCATTCGCCTTCAAATCCCGAACTACGGTTCTCTGACCTTTCAGTATCAAAACTGTGGGTTTGACTGCTTCACTATGTAAATATTAGACAAGGATTAAAAATCGAAGGAAGAACAATGGCTACAGTGGCCAAAAGAAAATAGTGACTTGAATACAGTAGCATCCTGACTGTAATAAACTAAAGGGACGACGATATAATTTGAAGATTATTTAGAGTTAAAAATCATCATATTTTTATCTTAATGGTAGAAATGAGAAGGGAAATCACCTATGCGTGAAAACCGTGCGTGATTGCGTCACGGACCATTAACACAGTCACTCAGCAGCGCGCACAGTTTGGATATTTAACAAATTAAATGTTTTGTTAACTCCTGAAAACAAAGTTGACTCATGATGACTGGGAACATTACGGAGATGCCAGTGAAACCAAAAATGATACAAACGTGTGAGCGGAAACGAAAACCGAAAGAAACAACCACATAAAGATGATATGGAACAAAACGGATGTGGAGGTCTCTTGTTTGGCAAGTTTCAAGTAAGTTCCAAGGGCATATAGTCTCCCTCGCAGCCGTTTTTTTTTTTCGGATGTCACACATCCGAAACAAAACGGCTGCGAGGGAGACTAAAGGGCATAGGGTAAAATATAGACTGGACTGGACTATTTTTTGGACTATTTTTTTGGACCATTTTTTGTTTCACGCGCAGACGTTCAATGTTGAGCGCGTGACAAAACCATGGATGGCTCCTATAATGGATATTCCCAGGTTTCAAGTCGCGGTGTACCACATTCCTTGAATGAAAGAATTCAATTCCCTCGGCGATATCAATCGCTGCCTTGGGAAAAACCGGTGAAAAATGTTGAGAGACTTCGCCTGCTATCGAGGCAATGCAATAATTCGAGGAGATCTAAACCTGAACAAACGTCAAGATCGAATGGCAGGAAATCAAAGCACTCCGATTTCATAATTATTTGCCCTCGAAGCTTCGCTTCTTGGGCAAATATTTGTTTTAAGAACATCAAATTTCCCCGGGGCAACTATTGGCCGATAGTTCCTCGACAGAAACACTATCGTTTAACTAGGTATTTCGATGTAGTGCGAAATTCTGTGATCTCGTCTGATAAGATCACTGACAAAAGGAAGATAGATAAATTCTGTAATAACATACTTTATTATATGGCTGTGCCTCACAAGGACTGGGAACTACCGAATTCACGAATTTGATAGGCTGAAATCAATATTGAAAGCGGTCTAGCTTCTCCCATCTAGACCGGCATCTAGACCGGTCTAGAAAAAAAAGGAACAAAGAATATAAAAAATTGGCATATAAGACACAACCATGTAATAAACATCTTATTAACCGAGCTAGGTCGGTCTGTATGGGAGAATCTTGACCTCGGTCGCTGGTATAGACCTCACTACATATGGTCTGTATTGGCGACCTCGGTCAAGATTCTCCCATACAGACCTCCCGCTCGGTTAATAAGAACTAAGTATACACAAAGGAAAACGTGAAGCAACTGATAGTGCACACACAAGTCGACTCAAAAGGCACACGGATAACTCAACAGTGGAGGATCGTAAACGCAGTATTTTAAATATAAATTAAAGTCCAGTGTTTACGTGGCAGTTTCGCTTTCGCATAACGGAAATTCCGATATCTCGTCTGATAAAATCAATGACAGAAGGAAGAGAGATAAATTTGGTAATTACACACTGTATACACGTTTTTCGAGGTGTGCGTT